ATTTTAATAATATCCCTCTTAAAACATTATAAATAGGAAGGTGTTGATTTATCTAGTGATAGGATGGCAATTCAACGTATTCGTGAAGCTGCAGAAAAAGCCAAAATTGAATTATCATCAACACTTCAAGTCAGTAATTGAATTAAAATATTTATCTTCTTACAAATATATATTAAAATTATTTAACTTTGACTTAATAAAATATCTAGACAGATATAAATCTTCCATTTATTACTGCTACTAATACGGGTCCCAAACACATCAGTATGAAATTAACTCGGTCGACTTTCGAATCTTTGACAAAGGATCTCATTGAGATGACTATCCCACCTTGTAAACAGGCTCTCAAAGATGCTGGCGTAGAAACAAAGGATATCAATGAAGTAATATTAGTTGGCGGTATGACGCGTGCGCCTAGAGTTATGGAAATAGTGAAATCAACGTTTAACCGCGAACCAACAAAGAGTGTAAATCCTGACGAAGCTGTAGCAATCGGTGCTTCAATTCAAGTAATTTAACATTGTTGTTTTATTTATCAAGAAAACTTTAAGAATTTTCTATTGGTTAATTATAAAATGATATTTAGGGTGGCGTACTTGCTGGTGAAGTTACTGATATATTGTTATTAGACGTTACTCCATTATCTCTTGGAATTGAGACTCTTGGAGGAGTGTTTTCACGATTAATCAACCGAAATACTACGATTCCAACAAAGAAATCACAAGTGTTCTCAACGGCTGCGGATGGTCAAACAAAGGTCGAGATTAAGGTATACCAAGGTGAAAGAGAATTGGTTACTGGTAACAAGTTACTTGGAAACTTCCAGTTGGATGGAATTCCACCTTTACCTAAAGGTGTTCCTCAAATTGAAGTTACATTTGATATCGATGCCGATGGTATTGTAAATGTTAGTGCGCAAGACAAGGCAACCGGAAAGGATCAATCCAGTAAGTGATTTCAGCAATTATTATATTATATAATAATTACATATCTTATATTGATCTTTTATACTTTAATCAGTTACTATTACCGCACAATCTGGTTTGAACAAGGATGAGATTGAAAATATGATTCATGAAGCTGAACGCCATGCCGAGGCAGATCGTGAGAAGAAAGAATCTATTGAATCACTTAACCGTGCTGACTCTGTGATTAGTGATATAGAGAAGAGTATGGCTGAATTTAAAGATCAATTAGATGCAGCTGAAGCAGAAAATATCAAATCACAGATCCAATCATTGCGTGATTTGACAGCTAAAGCGCAAAGTGAAGATGTTAAAGCAGCTGACATTAATGCTAAGATTTCGGAGGTGCAAAGTAGTAGTCTGAAATTGTTTGAAATGGCTTATAAAAAGGCAAGAGTTTGTTGTTGCATTTTGACTAATATTCATGAAGTTATTGACTTTTATAATTTATATTTAATTAGCGAGGTGCAGAAAATCCACCATCAGACTCTAACCAAGATGATAAAGACAAAGGAAACAAAGAGTAGTACAACAGATAGTTAATTGGATATTCGGATAGACTCTTCATAAATAGACGTTTATTTGGTTATCCGATTCTTGTACATTGTGATATTTGATTTAAAAAAAGAATATACATAAATGAACATTATACATTAACTGGTACTCGATGTAGTTTATGTAGTCAAGTGAAAAGCGAGGTCCTTAATGACTTATTTAAATTACTGAAAATAATATTGAATACTTATGTATAGTGCTTATGCATAGTGCCTTTTCTTATTATCGTAACTAATTCTGCACCAATTCTTGATCTTATTCTCCATTCCGTAATATTATAATACGTTGTCTTTTTTGTAGCGGTTTATGCTGTTACCATGCACGCTATCATTACACCATGATTTAAATAGCATTGGCGCAAGCTAAGTAACCATGATTTTAAATAACTATAACAAAGTTAAACTACAACATGGTTACTAAGCAAAAATGTTTAGAACTACTAAAGAACTAATCTTTACTAAAATTTAACCTTTGTATCTAATTATTATTATACTTAAAACTGTGCCTTAATTCTAAATTAAAAATAGCAGCAGTTATCGATATTCAATGAATATTTGATAAATATTTTTTAGTTATTTTATTTTTGATTATGGATACGAGTTACAAACCTAATCACTATTAAATTATAAATCTAACTATTGTTAAAATTATAAAACTATTAATATTAAGATTATTAGTTATGCCATCAATAAAATTACTAACTAATTAAACACAGTATTAATAGATTAACTATAGTAAGTAGTCAATAATAAATTTTATATAAATATAAAATTTTTATTTTTGTTTATTATGCAGTAATAGAAATATAAAATTTTGTTTTTATGTAAAGAATTAAGAAAATAATAGTTAAATTCAACATAAGAGCAAACTATAGAACTCTTTACAACTGTGAGAGCTGAGTTTCAAATAGTGAATGTTTTAGTAAAAGACAACTCATTAGAATCAATTACAACATCTTTAAAATTTTTTGATCTAAATATATGTTACAACCTATTTCTATATAACAATAACATATTTTTTTATTATCTACAAATATTATACACATTTATTCAATATTTACAATATTATAACTTTATTAAATTATTCAAAATATTTATTAATCTTTTTTACACAGAAATTCATATTTATATTAATTACAATAACAATTTATTTTCTAATTACATTCTATTTACTTATTATCAATATTATACAGTAAATATTATCAATTTCTTTTAATATTCTTTTTTAACTTTTTTACTAATAATCTTCTACTTAAATTTAATATTACAATAAATAATGTTCAAAGATATAATATATAAGAAAAAAAATTATTGGGGTGTGGTAACCTAGTGAAGTGGATAGGTTGTCAACCCCAAGTGGCAGGTCTAAAGTTCAAATCTCAGTGATGACAAAAATTTGCAATTTCTTCGATATTATAACTAATTGTCTTCTGTGATTGGTTGGGATAAGATACCTGTAACCTATGTCATACCAGCATGACTGGAAGGTCTAGGCACTCATACAATGTTGTATGAGGGAATACAAACCAGTACCAGGTGGTGTGAACCCAAGATAAGTTCTTAGGTCGTGTAAATCAAGAGAACCAGATAGGAAGATAGAAGCTCACTTGGAAGACCTAAGTAGAAAGGTAATCTGAATCTTCAACGATGCTACTGTAAAGACTAGACTTATGAAACAGAGTTAGAACTTGTGAAACTAGACAAATATGCTAGTCTTTAAGGAAGGACCAGATGAACCAACCAGGCTGTCAGAATTTTCAGATTCCGGAAGAAAAGAGCACATACTGGCAAACATGTGAACCAGAGGTGTATAGTTTTGATCTACCTTTCTGGACTATCTGGAATGGCAGCTTGGTGAAACTTGAATTGAATACCAAAGTAGTAAGAATATGTTGTGAAGTCAGTATTGGGGTTAAAGTAAACTCTACAAGGGCATAGTGGTTTAATGGTATGCTCTGACTGCAAGTGTTGGTCTCAGCCATAGCGATACCAGATTAGCTGTAAAAATGGGATACAGAAGATTCTGAAAGGTTTAGTACAAGGTCAAAGGTTCTCCATGTGAGTGAACCACTTTAAAGACTTAGTGATCATGGCATATTTGAACTGGTATCGACCGGAGCATCTTAGTAGGTGTAGATAGGTAGGTGGATATGAGAACAGAGTGGTTAAATAGGGAACCTACAAGCAGGTTTCAGGTATGGCAGCTAGTGTAGAACCTT